GATTTTGATTTTAAAAAACTAGAAAAACCCAAAAATATATATCTGTACCTTATGTGCAGTAGGTGTGAATATGTAATACCCTCTATAATACTAACAGTACAGTAGGTGGTCTCTTATACACATCTAGATCTTTAAACTCCTAGACCAGACAAAAATTCTCCTTAAGAATAATTTTGATGCAACCTGTTTTTCGGAACGGTCATTGTTGATATCATTCATCACTCGTGACTAAGCAAGTATATAAATACGTTAACTTGCTATTATTAGGGTGCATAACTATTACTAAACGTTTTCTTGTACTGATTTTAGTTTATTACAGTATTTACGGCTGTCAATCAAGAAAATAATAAATAAATAACTAAACAAGCCAATAAATCCCTAATAATAGTGATTATTGAATGACTTTGATATATTTACACTTTGTCAAGCAGCTATCCCATATCCATATATATATATATATATATATATCTGTCTCTTATACACATCTGCCTGGGCAAAATTTTACTGGTTCTTATATAGTAAAAAGGGTTATATATATATATATATATATATATATATATCAAGATAGCCGTTAACACTGTTAAATTATATATCTTGATTTATATATATGTATATATATATTTATATACTTATATATATAATATATATAATAGGTCATCAAATAAGTTAAACACAATTTTCAGATAAAGGACATAAATGCATCGTGTAGCATAGCTTTCAACGCATGTTGTTCTGTAAATAAATAATAAATAAAGAAATTGTGTAATAAAATGCCTCTCACGTGAGTCGAACCTGCAACCTATCGCGTAATAACCATTAGACCACAGAGGCTTCATGGATGAACAGATTCAAATAACGTCAGATCGGCATAAAATAAATATAGAAAAGGTGAAATATAATGTCTCTGACGGGATTCGAAACTGCGACCACTTGCTGTGAAGGTCAAAATAGTCTAATCTAAAATGGCATGCTGAGCGTGACTACAAATAGCTGCGTCATCTGAGCTATTATAGTGAGTCTTACAATTTTTGCCTACCTAGGAACTTGGTTTTAAACTATTAATTCATTATTGGCAACAGCAGCACGATGGAGAGGAGGGAGGAGAATGAGGAAATGGAAGCCTACCAGACAGGCCAAGAATCTCCATCCCTGAATGTAGCTCCTAAAAATTATTCTTCTTTTTAAATTTAAAAAAATACCATAATTGTGATAAAACCTGAAAAATAATAATGTAAAATAGTCGATCGAGATCTGACTAGATGGACAACCCTAAGAAAAATAAACCTTCACCTCATCTAATATGGTTTGGGCTGAGGTTGTATTTTACAACGCTGGATGCCTGGAAATTGCATTCTCCTATATTTATGTTTATAAAAAAAAATAAATAAATAAAAAAAATAAATAAAAAGAAAAAATAAAAAAAAATATCTATCTGGAAATCTCCCAGACTTAAATGGTTTTCAAGTCTCTAAACTTAAAATATAATATATCAGATAATTTGTTGCAAAAAGTAGGAGGGAGAATGAGCATCAGGAAAGGACACATTTTCTGGGCTGAAGTGAAAATATTTTCAGCTTATAAAAGATGTTCAATATTAAATAAATCTAATATATTAGAGGGATGAGCAGGTACTAAGCTCAATGTTTAAACATTTTATGAACCTTTTTCATCCGTATGCACCGAATATGTAGACCATAAAAAAAACCCATTTTATGCGTCAATCTAATGGGGACTAATGTAAAAACTAAATAAAGTGAACCCTTTTTAAAATATGTACCCTATACTAGAAATTGCAAATTGCAAGTGAAGTGCTGCGAAGTATAACTGCATGTAAAGGTTCTTCGAACAAAATTATTTATGCGAGTCAAGTGAAAATAATGAATAATAAAAATATAACAAATAATATGAGACACGACCCATTGTCTATATTAGAACACTTCTCTTTGGGTATCAAAGTCGTAATTTTTCATTTTTGTCAAAAAGTGTCTAGTGGTGAATTATGGTTTAGGTTTTTTTTAAATAAAGTTTCAAAAATGTCTATGTATGTGGAAAATGTAGTTGATTACCAAAGGTTACAATTTTTATTTTGAAGATTGCATGGTCTTGGAAGTGTACATTTTTTATGGGGCAAGTTTCCAAGGGCGGGTTTTCTAGGGGCGAGTTGACTGCCAAAGAGTGTGCCAAAGTGCGAGCCAGCGTGTTATTTGATCACAAGTGCGAGACATCCCAAGTGTGAGCCAGCGATCTATGATTACACGACAGTAGATACGAGACGTTACTCGAGTTGTGCGAGGTATCGGCTGAGATTTGTGAAGTACAATTCAAAAAACAACTATAGGTCTAATAATGAATTATTGTGATGTTAAATAGACAATGTTAGCTATCAAGGAGCGACGTTGTTTTTCATTGGGACATTCGTCCCTTCAAGGCTAGGCCTATACCATCCTAGCTAGTCTAGGCCTAGAGTAGGATAAGGCTAGCGCGACATGCGGACGTTGGTACGTGTTGGTTAGTCTACAAACGTCGCCTAAAGTAATTGATTTTACCCAGCAGAACGAAAGAAGGAAACTACGCTTTTCAGTCGTCTTAGGCCCTTGTTTTTTGACAAAAAATGACCTTTCAGAGGTCAAATTGCTGTCAAGAATATGAATTGGCTGCTTCACAGCAATAACGCATAAAATCTAACTGATATTCACACATATTTTAAAATGCGGACCCAATTTATGTGTATAAACTGAACTATTTAAAAAAAATCGACTCTCATTTTACACCTAAAATCTAATATGGACTCATCCCATGTTTAATTTGTGTTCTTCAATTATTGTGGAAAAATTAAGAGGGAAAGTCCCTACTGTCCCAATAGCTGTTTAACGGCACTGACTGTATCCTGTTTAAACATTAGGATGCTCGTATTACCACTTTACTTCCTTTCGCGAAGTATTTGTAGAGAAGGTCACTGTCACATACAGATTTCGTACTGATGCTATTCTTCTTTTGATGTTAAAATGTGTCAGTAGTAAGACAAAAACATTCAATACACTTTGGATTGTGTTAACATTTTCTCCGAATAAATATTGATATTTTAGAATAATTATATTGTTTCGCTGCTTCTATTATTCCATTTAGGACTAAATATTTTTAAAAAATAGTTTTTAAATTAAACTGGATTTAACCATAAAAGGTTAAGCCTATTATTATGCTCATGGTGGTCTTTGAGTGTTAACAACATGCGTTAAAAAGTTAGCTTATGGTCAATTTTACCCTGGTAGACAATAAGATTGACAAAGTGACAAGAGCGGATCAAACAGTGGGTGGGAGGGAGGCAAGAGTTTTTCCAACGATTTCATATATCAGGATGTCAAATAGGCCAGGAGATATGACAGGGTTTTCTAGTCATTATTAGGGAGTTTTCGATGCACGACGTTAACCTTAAATTTAACGTTAGTACCCAACATGCAGCGCGATAGCTCCGCCCCTTTTGTAAACAAATCGAAATACGCATGCGCAAACCCGTAAATAACGTACGTCGAGCACGTAAAATCCTGAAATTAACGTACTTCGCAACGCAAGAGGAATATATTATGACGTCATCCGTTAAAGTTAAGGTTAACGTTGTGCATCGACAACTCCCTATTACGGAATGTAGTACTTTACTCAGTGGCGTAACGCCTTTGTGCTCTAGTGCAGCGGTCCGCGGTGCACCGACACTTACAGGCCCCTTTGGTGCACCTACACATATGGTTCACGATCTATAGCACCCTGATCCAAAAGAGCTTTGTTGATACGTTACAGCATAATTTGTCTATGACATCGACTGTAGGACATATGCCATATTAATCCAGTGGGGATGGGGCGCCCAGCCGGCCAGGACCCCCTATATTTTTAATGTCAAAATTAAAAAAAAACAATATGGAGATAAAATATTCAAATTTTAAGTCTGAATGATTGCCATTTCCGGGCATCTAGGGGTGTCACAATTATAATTTGCTTTGCGACACCAAGTATAGAATAGACTGTAGGTCTTTGACTAGACGTTCGCGACGCGGGTGAGTGGTATTTAAGGGAGAGAGAGAGAGGAGGTGGGGGGAGAGCATAGTTACCGTCGGGAAGAAGTCAGTAATTTTTAAAAATCAGTCAAGAGAACAAGTTGAACGCAAATGCAAACACAACCTCAAACGGACAAATCAAATCTTAGAACCAACTTTTTAATTTGAAACTATATAAGCCTAACAAAACAAAAATTACTTTAAGTAGATTAAAAGATAAATATGCATTAGCTAAAGGACACAAGTACACCACTTTATAATAATTTTAGAAGATTTAATGTTTCGACTACTGTTGTGTACCTTTCAAAACACGCTGCCGTTAAAAAATGTATTTGTTCATAAACTCCATCATACTCAAAATCGTCATGTCAAAAGTAAATTTAGTGCAGAACCTAATGCTAAAAATGATTTGTTGTATATATAATTTTTATGTTTGCTTATTATTAATTTAGTTGAAGTTGTCTCTTGATAAACCAATAATTTAGCAGCCGTAACCGTAGCTGAAGCTTAGAAAGTAAAACTATTAAATTATTGGTTTATCAAGAGGTAAGTTCAAATAAATGTTTTATAATCAAGGTGAAATGACTGAGTATTAATAATTCGTGTGAATGTTTGATACCAATGGAAAACAATGTTTTTAGACAATAAAATATTTTTGTATCTTGTGTCATGAAATATGTAATGATAATTATGCAGAAAGAAGTTGAATTTTACAGGCCTCTTGACTGTCTCCAGTGCTCTTGTAAGGATTATTCTAATAAGTAGCCTATACTTATCGCACTTGTAGCTACAGCAGGGAATATAACAACCTGCAATTAGGAAACGCCATGCTCTCATGAGGAACTGAATTTGAGAAGGCATGTGACGAAGAGAGCGAATAAGATCGCTTAACTTTGGTTTTATTGCCAATTATCATAAAAATAGAAATTGCAGCCGGATGGACGCAACCTTTGGACGGACCTTAAACAATAAGATTTTACACGACGTAATGGACTTGTTAATAAACAGACGCTACACGACAAGGTTTTAACATTTATACAATACTTATTGTAAGGATCGGGGAGTTATGAAGATATATGAGAGAATATTCAATACCATACTTATTCCGACGAATATTGCTATTATCACGGATGTGTCCCGGTAGGTCGATTACCAAGACACGTTGTACTTAATACATTTTTTTATAAATAATAATTTTCTTTTCGGCAGAGACTAAAGTGACCAGACGGTGCTCAATAGAACAACATTGGGTGAAGATTAACTAATACTGGATATTAATTAATAATGGATAAAAGAGCAGCGAGTCATCTACAAGGTTACTACATGTATGAACGCAGTTTTAACAAGCACGTTATTGCAGATGATACCGAGGTGCATGAAGCTTATAAAATAGCTCAAGAAAGGGGAGCACTTCCTTTTAACAGAACCAAAATACTTATCCTAGGCGACCACACTGCTGGAAAGACTTCCACATGCAGGCGTTTAAAAGGAAAAGAATTTCGGCATGACGAGCCCAGCACAATAGGAATCGAAACAAACATTTTCAAGGCGAAAATTGATGATGTTAATAGTAAGTGGTGTGAAGTATCAAACACACCTCTAGAAGATTATGAAAGTTCAGTGGCATGGTGGGCAGTATCACACATGCTCAAGCGTAGTATGAAAAAATCTATGAGGTCTGGTAGAATGCCTGACGTAAATTCACATGTCTCGTTACGAGAACTAATTGAAGATATATTTCATCAGATAGTATATATTATTCCCTTTTTAATTACGTTTCTAACCGGTGGGTTTACTTTCGGATTTGGACTGGTTGTATGGATTTATATTCTGTGCTTGATGTGTGTATTCGATGTTCACACTGCGTACCGCTTTGGTTCCGGGTACACTCTCGGGATGGTACTGATAGACAGTGCAATGAGTAATAATGACATTTACAACGAAATGCAAGACACTGGATTGGATTGGAATAGTATGTCGGCTGTCCTGATGGCTCTTATGTATGGACTGGTTGGCCTAAGTACTGGCGTGCTTATTAGCGCAGGTTGTAGGACTGGCGTTTGCATAGCATTTTGCATAATGGTTCATCCTAAACAGAAAACATTTACCATCGATAATGTTACAGAACAGCTACAACTCATCTACAACAAAGTATATCATAATTTCATAATTTGTATCATTGCCTTTATAACAATTGTGATTTTTAGAAATGTTCATGCTAAGATATTATCAATGAGTCGAAAGAGCTGTATAATTTTTTCCCTAACCATTATTATTTTTATCACACCTGCCGCCTTTATACGAAGGTCATTATGTCTAGGCCTATTTACTACTCTGTATATTGCTGTAGTTGTAAGTTTCTCAATATTTGGAGTTCTTTTGGGAAGAAAATTTGTCGCGTATGAATATTTTCCTGAAAAATATGTCATCAAGAAATCTATTGGTTTTCTAGCTGGGGCATGTATAGCGGTTTTTTGCAGATGGGAATTTGCAAATTTGAGAACTCTTATCTTAAATCATAACCAGTACTTCTCGGTTTCACGGTATTTATTTAGCTTATTGAATTTTCTCGTCCCAATCACTGCCTTTATTGTATACGAATGGTTTGCATATATGAAAGTGAAAAAAACGACATCCATACCGATAACTCATGTCAGACAATCGATGAAAGCAAGTATTCGTAACGAATCTTATTTAGATGCAAGATTGAGTTTATGGGACTTTGCAGGGCAGGATATGTACTATAACACACATCACCTCTTTATGTCTAAACAGGGTGTGTATCTCATTGTTTTCAACGCAGTTGAAGCGGTTATGAATCCTGAAAAACAAATCAAACGGCTAAAGTTCTGGCTACAATCAGTTGCTATGCATGCAGAGGTTGAAAATGCTGTAGTCTTTCTTGTAGGAACCAGACGAGACAGTGTTGGTGAAAAAAATGCTTTTTTGAATTTTTTAAACCTAGCAAGAAAACATCTCTACAAAAGGTTTTCTAAGTTGCTTGCATTTCATCCGTCTGGAAGTCTTTTCTTTTTGATTGAAAACGCATCACCATTAGACGAACAACGTAACATATTACGAGCAGTTATCTATAATGAAATACAAAAATTGAAGTTTTTTCAGGAGAAAATTTCATTGAGATACCTTTTATTTAATGAAACTTTAAACAAGTTTCGCCAGCGAAATTGTATTATTGTTAAGTTTGAAGATTTCTCAGATGAAGTAAAATCAACCTGTAATATCATGTCAAAAAATGAGTTGCGTAGATTCTTAACTTTTCATGATCGATCGGGTGATCTCATATACAATGAACGGGATGAGATACTCCGAAATTACGTCATTTGTGATCCTCAAATGCTTGTAGACATTTTGCAGTATTTGGTAAATGTTCCTGTACCTCATAAGCGAAATCGGACAGTATCTGACTACTGGCAGAGATTAGAGGACACAGGAATTGTTGATAGTAAATTACTAGAGCATATCTGCCGAGAAGAAGGAATCTGGATACTTTATCCTTATGTTATTCGTTTCTTAGTGGGGACACATCTACTTTTCCCTCTTAAGATTACTGACCATGTCGACCAAGTTGGAAAATTTTTCCTTTCCTGTCGACTACCGATGATCAATGCCATGTCAAATATCTGGAACAGCAATGATCACTCGCAAGACATTTTTTACTTTGACTTTGGTGAAATCATTCCAGAATTTATTCTTGTGCGTCTTATCGCTAAATGTTGTGAAGTGTTTACTTGGGATAAGATCTACTACAACGCAGCAAGATTTAGGACTAGCAATTCATGTCTATTTGTTCTCAACACCAATGAAATTTCTGAAAGCACGTACGTGCGACATTTGATCAAAGTTGCGGTACACAATGATGATAAAGCACAGGCTATACATGTTTTACAAAAACTGATTAGTTTTACTGAAGAAATAATTTATAGAGATTTCAACCCATACCATTTTTGTGAACAGTATATCTGTGGACCCGAATGTGAGCGATGTAGTTTCCTTGATGGAACACTGCGTTTGGTGAACCTCATAACACCTGCAAACGAGATATCTACATTGGACGGCTACAAACCAGACCATTACCATAAGGTTACACTTGAGCAAAAGGTATGATAATGTATACAAAACTTATAACTACATTTAGTGACATATCGCCATAATAAAATGTTGCCATTAAGAATGATTTATACATTTTTCACTATTTTACATCTTAAAACTAATGTTTCTTTATTTTGCAGTTCAGTTTCACCTGTAGTCGACAAAAAAACAACTAGGTCTGAGGATATTTTGCAGTATAACTACATAACGAATACAAAGTAATTTGGTTTAGTGCTTATTATAATAAGTTTAGTATTTATTATTACATATGTTGGACGATAAAATCTCAAATCTAAAATATTTTGTGTTATTACAGTACCAAAATACAGCAAATATACACATATTTTTA